TTCTTTCTTTGAGTCTCAGTTTTTAATAACATCCATGAAACTAATAATCAGTTTCATGGATGTTATTAGCGTCACAGGATCTACACAGGGAATATTCACACTTTAGATCTTATGCAGAATATAAGAGCGGTGAAAACAGCCAAAGGCTACACAATGAGGAGGCAGTCAGCGGGGGAGAACAGGTGGGTTGGGGGTGGACATGAGACAGGTAAAGGGGGAGGGAGGTGAAGGGAGAGAGTGCAGGGCTTACAGAGCCTCTCCTAAGAATACTGAAGGGGATGGTTTTCTTTACTATGTGAGTCTCCCACACCCTCCTGCCCCAGTCTTCCACAAACAATGAAGCCTCACGACTGTAGCCGTCTGGACCCTGCAGTGACAGCAACAAGCCCGCCGGTCTGCGTTTGAATCGGGGTGAGTCAGAAACAGGTCACAGAAGAGCAACAAGAAACGACAGACACCTCCCTGCCAAACACTGACCGGGTAGCACATTGATGATTTCAGGACAGGAGACTCACCAGAATCTGGACGGTGAGCAGTCCTTCTCCAGCATCTCTGGCATCAATGGTAAACTCCACTGGCAAGCTGGCTGGAACCCCAGATGCATTCAGACCGGGACCGCTGGCTCGAACTTTGCTAGCATCATGAGCCGGTAATGTCTTGATTTTAAAAGGACTGAAGAGACAGTTAGAAAGGTTAAATCTGAACCTGAAGGACCAGAACTTTCTTGTACACGCTTCTCTTCAATACCAACCTCCGGGGCACTTCCTGGTCGGCATACTTTACGCACACCGTATACGGGCCATCGTTGGCAGGAGTATAGTTGACCGTGTGAGTGCCATCACCATTATCTGTGATGTTGAGTGGCTCAGCTACACCTGAAGACAAACCAGAGCACAGGGCAAGGCCACAATGAGGTGATATCAGCTGATTAAAGCTACTGGGAGAGTTTCATGACAATACTACTAAAGAAAGATTTAACTCGAGCTTGATAATGAGTTTGTCTGACTGGAAGTCCCACGGGTATAAGGTATGGCAGGTACAGCTTTTTTGGTTACCAATGGCCTGGGCAATGTTATGAGGTTAATAAGTCTTTGTAATCTTACCTGTTGGTCCATATAGCTGAACTGACAGGGGAGCCACCCCTGCCTTGCTGCTGTCTACAGTAAAAGTCTGAGGAACATGAGCCCGGACTCCACTTCCAAGGCCAGGACCTGAACACCTCACCATACTGGGATCGACCAGCTCTCGCACTGGGACCCGGAATGGACTCCCTGAAAGACAAGTGATGGAATAGATGCTCTTGATTGCAGATATCTTTACCTTAGAAAAGCGCAGAGTCAGTTATATCCAAACCACACCCTACAGGGTTAAGTGACCTTCACCTGGGATCGGTAAGCCTCCAAAGGTGATATTGACATCATATTCTCCAGGTGTGAAGGGGATATACTCCACACTGCAGCTGCCATCTTTGTTGTCCTTACATGACATTTTTGCCTCTGATGGACCCTCAATGGCCAGGCCAAGTCCCCCAGTGCCAGCACCTCTGAGGCACGCATAAAACAAAAAGGAAGTTTAGGATGTTTAAACAGAGATCTATGGATGCTACAAAATCTATTCTGGATTTAAAAACAGAGTGACGATACCTGGTCTCAACAGTGAATCGGTTTGGTTTGTTCACCAGTCCTTCCTCCAAACCTGGACCGTAGGCTCGGACTCGACTGGGATCACAACCCTCGCTCACGGACACCCTGAATGGACTCTTTGGCACCGAGACGTCATCCAAAAGAACTTCAATCAGATGTAAACCTTCAGCAAACAAGAGTCCAGTTATAAAAGTGAGTATTTTAATGGATTGAGTCAAGATAATGTGGGTGAAACCATTCTGCAGTGATCTGGTGTGTAGATGTCAGTATCTACAATAAGTTGATATAGTTTTTTCACTGAGTAACCTCCTCATTGCTCTGTAATTTGTTTGTTCTCTTAAATTTGTATATGGAGAAATACAAATTAAATGCTTTTTACACATTTATTTATTTATCCGTCTTCAGCTGTTGAGTGTGTTGTTTCAAAGGAACCCAAACATTTAATGGTCACTCATTTTTTTAATCAACGGTTCAGTTTTTAACCAGCAACCTCTCAGGCAGAGTGGGAGTAAACCAGACAAAGAATCACCTTCCATTAAAATTCCAGTCTGACTGAGTATTTCTTTCCCACAATGCAATGGACTCTAACACGTCACACTTCACTATCAGTGGAAAACCATCTGCTGAGCGCAGACAGACTGCATCTATAAATACCCTTGGTCCAAACCCGCTCCTCACTGAGAGGTTAAAGGACCAGAATCCAATCATTGTAACTGATGTTCAGTACATTATCATAACTGACTATAACAGTAGCACATGCAGGGTTAAGCTTTGAGCAGCAGATATTTGTCTGAGCTTTAGGCACTTAAATATTAAATCAGATATATTTGCTCTGGAATGGTAATTATGCCCTGGATGTTGATTGCTGCTGACCCCTCCGTACACAGACCGACCGCAGTTCAGCCAACAGTCCTTCATGGCTGGCGAGGGAAAACAAGCCTTATGAAAGCCAAATGGAATTTTATTTCACAATTAGGAGGTGTTGCAGTGGAAAAACACCCACAAACCAGCAGCAAACGGTCGTCCTGCCCGTCCTCTGTCTCTGCTGACGATCTGCAGCCAGGCTCACAAACAACACACAGCGCCAGGAGGAAGGTCTCAGGCTTACCGTCCTCGTACGGTGTGTACTCGACTTTGTATGTCCCATCTCCCTTGTCGGTGACGTAGGAGTCTGTGTTGGCGCCTGACGGATTTGAGATCGAGGTTTTGATATGGCTGCCACCGCTCTTGTAGTGAGCTCGAGCGTCCACGATGAAATGAGTGGTTACTTCCCTCAGGACGCCTGCAGAGAGCAAAGCAGCACGAAGACAAAAAAGTAGAGAAGAATGTTAGTCAATGTCTCCATGAAATATAACATCCCATTTTTATCAAGATGCAGAGAACGACTCATCACTTATAATCATATCCAAAGACAGTAAAATATTTGAAATATTTCACTGAATACAGTCATACTGAACAGAATATTTAAAGTGCTACAGAATTCATGTTCAGTCTAAAAACAATCAGCCAAATTAATCACTTAATTTATATGTTTTTGGTTCCAGTCACATAAATTTAAAAAAAAAACATGATAGAAAACGTGTATCATTAACACAGATCATCGTTATTACAAAAGATGGACTTTAGCTTCTAGTGCTGCATTTTCTGTCATTTCCAGCTGGGGCGACTCCAGTGAAGTCTGATTGGATAAAAGTCTCTGAGCTCAGCAAACTCTTTCTCAGTCGCTGCTTTCAGGTCTGATTGAATAGAACAACAAGTTCATTTTGGATGCCGTGGCTCTGTTAGAGGTATGACGTTCTATCACTTTCCAGCCTCATATTTTAACTTTCACAGCATGACTTAGATCAGGACCAAAGGTTGTTTCAGGATAAATCCATCAGAGTAATGCAACAAGCACTCATTTCTTCTTTGCTCTTTGTTTATTGATTAAATTAGTAACGTGAGCATTCAGCAACTTCTCCCATTTGTTCTCATCATAAGACTTTATGACTTCAGTGCTCTTTTATTGGTTTTACTTTAATCTCAATTTAATAAAGACTGCAATCGAAATACGGAAAGAAAAACGTAATAATTTAAAAAAAGAACAACATACAAACTAAATGTGCTGTTGGGAGTTTATTAATTGTGATAATGGAGTCTGGTGGCGTCCAGGAGGCCAATGAACCAACCACAGAGAGCTGAGCCTAAACCAGATCACACTGGAAACAGTCCTGTTGTCATAAAAACAGACCTCAGAACAGCAGTGAGTTTGGAAACTCTAATCACTGAGGAGACGGATAGGCTAATTAGGGCTGAGAACAAGTTAAAGGCTCTCCTATGGTTTATTAAGGAAAATAGAAGGTAATGTGTACCCCATAACATAGAGGAGCCAAAACCCCTGCATCTTTAGTGGCAGACGTCCTGTTAGGGTCAGGGGCATTTCTGGACATGTTTTTATATCAGGTGCGTGTATCATATTTTATACACATACATGGCAGTGGAATTACATCACTAAAATTTTGCAGGGGGTTTTGTGGAAGCATTTTGCACCCCTGCATGTTCACAGCTAATAAAATCAGTACATTTTCACAGCTTCTCACACGTGTGCAAAATCTACTGAGTTTTCTGTCGTGTTTAGAGCACAAAATCGATGAGCAAATTTGATGACCAGATATTGTTTTACATTTGTGTTTGATTAAAGTATACAAACCTCAGACATCCTTCTTTTAACTGGGCATTAAAAAATCTTTAAGTGCTCACCTCTGGGTTCCACTCCTGGTCCATAGACCTTCACTCCACTGGTGTCAACAGCTGGGTCCACCTGCAAGCGAATGGGGAACTTTGGCACCATGTGTCCTCCATATTTAATGGTGATGGTGTACATGCCGTGGCACTGGGGTATATATGTGATGGAGTAGGTCCCATCACTGTTGTTCTGAATGTGAACTTCAGCTTTGGCCCCAGAGTCAGAGATGATCTCGATGGTGAGCTCATCCTCTCCGGCTTTGGAGCAGTCCACCGTGAAGGTTCCAGCCTCGTTGACCTTGCCTTGCTCCAGCCCGGGGCCGCTGGCTGTCACCTTGCTGGGGTCAAACACTGACTGGACCACAGCCTTGAAGGGGGAACCGGGGATGTGCTGGTCTGCAAACAGGATGTTGATGGCGTATTCACCAGGCTCAGTCGGCAGGTAGGACACAGAGCAGGATCCATCACCATTGTCTTGGCATTCAATCTTGGCCTCACACGGCCCCTCCACCGTCAGACCCAGACCACCAGTACCAGCGCCCTTTGTGTCAATGGCAAAGGGGGCTGGTTTGCCTACCACACCACCCTGAAGGCCTGGACCGTAGGCTCGCACCTGGAAAGTAAATGAAAAAAACCAGAAGAGACACAAGGAATACTTATTAATGCTGGTTAGCAGAAGACATTAGCTTTAATTCTGAGGTCTGCACCAGAATCAGCACAGATGATTGACTGAACATCCATGGATTACTAAACTGGTAGGCCTGAAAAACATTCACACAAGTAAAGATTTACACAACGATTTCTGAACCAAGTACTAAGTCATATTTGCTTGGGGATCAAATAATTATTTTATTCAATGACATGCGGGAACTTAGTGAGCGATTAAAGATAAATTGCTTGAAAATCTTTGAATACAAATCTGTGAAGGTTCTCAGTCATACAAGTTATTGTAGTCTAAGGAGCTTGGAAAGAAAAGTGTCTGGACTTCTTTAAGTTTCCTTGAAGACGTCTGACCTCTCATCCGAGAAGCTTCATCAGTTCTAAGAGCAACTGGTGGAGAGTCCCAGATTTTAAGCCCTATGCGTTTGTCCCCATGAGGGTCATGGACCTCCTTAATGATCCTCTACCTAATCACATGAGCCAAGGTGTGAAAATGGGTGTGGGTCACAATCAGCCAAGCCATTGTGAAACCTAGCCCCTCCCTATCATGTGATTTACTGAGGTCAAATTGCCCAGGATGTGAGTGGGCATTAAGGCGTCTGGGAAGGGATCTCAAAACTGGATTATAGATAGTAGATAATTGGTGTTGTAAACCACTGCCTCTGTTCAAAGATGGTCGTTCACAGTGGACATAGATGGCTTCTTTCACTCCTCTTTCAAACCATCTGTCTTCCCCTTCCAAAATGTGAACATTGGCATCTTTGTCCTTTAGATGCAGATGGACAGCTGAGTCTTGTCCCATGGAAGTGGCTCTTCTATGTTGTGCCATGTGTTTATGAAGTGGCTGTGTAGAGGTCTGGGGATTCCTTGCTACACTGTACAGCATGCACTCTGTTGTTAAGTTTGTGTTTAGGAGTTTTGTCTTTGGGATGAATCAGTTTTTGTCTAAGTGAGTGGGTCTGAAGTACACTGGGATGTCATCCTTGGAGAAAACTCTCCTGAGTTTTTCCCAAAAAATGGCTACACAGGGAATGACAATATTGTTGCGTTTGCCTTTCTGATCCTTCCTAGTTGGTGTCTGATACTTTTTTCTGTGCATCTTTGCTGACTTGATGAAAGCCCAATTAGGATAACCACATGTCTTTACTTATTCTGACAAATATTAAAATTCTATCAGTGTGGGTTGTTGTGATTTTAACTCACCTTTGAAGGATCAGGGGGCATGAGGCCCTCCACAGTGAATGGACTTCCCGGGACAGGGTTCCCATCGTAGCTGATGTCCACTCTGTATGGTCCTTCCTCAGGAGGAATGTACTTCACTGTATGAACCTCATTAGCTGTGCCCGATTCTACCTTGCAGGGGATTGGTCGACGAGAAGGGGAGGTGATTTTCACGTCTAGTTTGCCCTGACCTCCAGCACCTTGAGTACAGATGGAGAACTCCTGATCCTTCCCAACATCTACTTCTGATTAGTGCACAGAAACAGCAGGATGGTCAGCAGGAACAGGGGTTTGGGGTTTAGGATGTTGATAACAGTGAAGTCTGAACATCTTTTTAAGCTGTACCCACACAGAGGACAATTCACTCACTGTGCATCGCTTTCAACCTGATGGTTGGTCGCTACCAGGCTCCAGTTACCTAGGTAACATTCTAATGTATTTACTAGCTAGTCATATGTCATTCACCAGTATCCTGAGCTAATTAGCAATCACTTTAATTGCTCTCCTTAAAGTTAAGAAACGTTTATGTTAGGACCCACCCATGTCAAGCATGAGATCATTGAATGTCATTGATTTTCCTGTCATCATGTGAATTTTTTCCTGTGTGGATGCAGCTTTAGACGTGAAGATGAAAAGCTATTTTTTTTGGAAATGCTGGCGTGTGTTCGGCTGCACATTAAGGGATATTTCTGTTGGAATCCTTTGATACTGATTATAAACGAAATGGAAAAGCGGTCTAAGCAGTTCAAGCTTGTTTTATGTTAAATGATTCAGAAAGAAGAGAAATTTCCACTGCAGATCAGAATTACACATCAGTTAGATTAAATTTAATGAAACAGAGCTTGAATGAACAGCAGCTCAGAGTCATTAAGGATCCCCATGAAGGGGTTGTGATTGTCTTTCAGAGGAACTCCTGGATTCTTTTGTTTACTCATCTAATCCATCATTTACTCTCCACCTCACTTATTATAATTAGTACCAAACTGTGCAGGACTCTCTATGGAAATATCCTGTAATCTAAAGCTAAACAGCAGCTTGTATTTAGGAATTTGTGATGAATGATTCCAGGAATTTAGCTGGAAACACGCATTCTGTGCTTCATCTGCTGCGTCATGAAACCTGATCAGGGCTCCATATGGAAGCACTTTGCTTCTGTATGATAAATGTTCCATTTTTTTCCTCACAGACTTACTGTTGTTCAGTCCCTGAACTTTGACCTTGTTGAGGTCCAGTGGGGGGGCCACAATGATGGTGAATGGACTTTTTGGGATGGGGTCTCCTCCATGACACACAATGATGGACATGCTCCCCTGAGAGAAACACAAGCAGTGCTTAACTTATGTCCATCAGTCACCTCACAGGTAATCCATCACACATGTGAAGTTGGTGTGCTACCTGCTGCACCGCCGTGTAGCGGACAGTGTATGAGTAGTCATGGTTGTCGATGATCTCAAAGTCTCGGACGGCATCACCTTTAGCTGCTCCGGTGAAGTGGACCTCAGGTTTGGCTTTACCAGCTCCCTTTGTATAAATGGTGAAGTGGGTGGGCTTACCCACCTCCACCCCTGCAAAGTTCAGACAGAAACTTTATTAATAAGGTTCTTCTATGTGCAGCACTTTGTGATTCTCTGTCTAGAAAGGTGCTATATAAATAAAATTTTACTTTATCTAATTTAATACAGATAACAAGCTAAAACCTGCTGTTCCCCTGATGGGAACAAGGGCCCCAGCAGTGAGCCAGTCCTAACAGACTAATTAAAGATTAAAATGTCCAACTTTACAACAGATATAGATGTTTATAGTCTGATACAGTCTCTTTAGATTATTTAAAGTTTGTATTTTTAGAAGAATAGAATAGAATAGCCCTTTATTGTCATTGTACATATAAATCAAAACTGTGGGTGCTCCACCCTAGTTGTGCCAGAATAAGTTATAAATAGTAGGCAGCTGGAATCAATAGAAAACAGAAAAATATATACAATCAAGAGGGTAATATATAAAATAAGAGAAAGGCACAAATTAGAGAACAAAGTGCTTGGAAGTAGTGCAAAAAGACTTGGTCTGAACAGAGTCTGTGTGTGAGTGGCCTGAGTGATGAGGGTTATTCAGACCATTGTTTAGATTTGTGGATGGGTGGACAGGGGTAGGGGCAGCCAGTGACTTTTTAGGTGGTGTTAATTACCCTCTGCGCAGCCTTCCTGTACTCAGTTGTGGCCCCTGCATACCAGGGTGGAAGAGAGCACGCTCTCCACTGAGGAGCAGTAGAAGGCCAGCAGCAGCTTCTGGTCTGGGTTATATGACATCATCCAACCAATAAAATGGCTGCTGTGTGATTACTGTACTAAGAGACCATCCAAGAAGTCTGAGCTCTGGTTTACTAATTACCAGGTCTCTTCGTGGACCCCTGTATGCGGACGTGATTAGTAACACTTCCACAGTTTTGTATCTGATTTTTGTGTTGTATTGATCACAAATGTGATAAAACCCAGCTCACCTGTCCTGTTGAGTCCAGGTCCCTCTGCCCTGACTTTGGCTGCATCATGGGAAGGATCCACCTTTATTCTGAAGGGGCTAATAGGGATTTCCTGTTTTACACAATAAGTGTGAGATGTTTTTTTTAAATTCAGTTTTAACATAGATGTGCATTTAAGATTTGATCCAACTGTTGACCCCTCATTTACCTGATCAGCGAACAGCACCATGATGGTGTACTGTCCAGGACCCGGAGGCATGTACTTCACTGTGAATGTGTCGTTGTCGTTCTTGATGATGTCAAAGTCGATGTCAGCCTCGGCAGGTCCGACTACACCTGGAGCGCACTTGATGCCAATGCTGACATCACCTGCAGGGAAATAATAATTAACTCTATTACAGAGATTCGAGGTTATTTCTGCAGTAATATTCAAACATCATGTATCAGTATTCCTGTACTATTTAATTTCTTTCTAATTATACTCATAAAAACAAAACTTGGCATTACAGCATGTTTGTGTGCTGCACAGCTGGTCTGAATCTGAGTTAAAGTCATTCATTGGAGATCAAGCTCAACGATCAGAAAGACAAAACAATCTCCTATGTGTCGTGCATTGTGGTGGCGGGACATGAAAAGAGGACATTAGACATGAAACAGGTCTCACCCTGTCCGGCTTCACTGCAGTCCACAGTGAAGTAAGTCGGCTCGTTGGCCTTCAGTCCTGTCTTCTCCACACCTGGACCGTAAACTTTCACATTCTCTGGATGGCTGCCCTCTCCGATAGTCACCTTATTCACAACATCACCATCATTGTTGGCAACAATAAACCTGGCTTCTATCTAGACTCTAACAAATAAATGCAAAAGCTGAAATATGGAATAAATCATGGAATATAAACATCCATGCGTTTAAGGAAACTTAAACTCATCTTTTTCTGCTAAGAAACATTTGAGGTGATACACTGAGCTCTCGACACACTATTATTAAAACACTGCAGCCACTGGAGTACCTCAAGGCTCTATTATGGGTCCCCTAAAGTTCTGTATTTACATGACAGCATTTTGTCCTTCAACCAATAAAAATAGTGTTTAGCAGACATCTGCTTAAGTTAAGGGTTAATTTAGTTTTTTCCATTTAATGTTTTACTGATTACTAACAAAAAACAAAGCTAAAACTAATCTCACATACTAATTCAAAGAGCAAGGTATTTGTATGTTCGTGTTAATGATTGACCAGTTTACACTGCAACAAACTGCAGACATTGTGAGTCGGATTAACAGATTTAAAGGATATACTTCAGTGACTTTAATGTGAGAGTATATTTGGTGTTGGTTTTATACCCTGAATGGGCTGTTGGGGACGTTGACTTCACCCCAGGTGACGATAATGGTGTGTTTGATGGGTTTTGTGGGAATGTAAACACAGAAGTAGGTGCTATCTCCATTATCTGTGATCTGGACGTCAATGGGGAAACC